CACTCGCACAAGTCCGGCCTTCCCATATTATAAGCTGTTCACACTTTGTTTTTTATCTCCTCAACAAGAACTCTTCTATTTAAAAAAGTTAATGATCCTGAATGTTAAGCTTTGTGCCCGAGAAAAAATAGAAATACAATCAGAGAATCAGTTATCAGTTGACTCCAGATATGGAAAAATCTTAACTATCAAAACATCGTCTGTCTTTAAGATGCGACGAAAATGTCTTCTTCTTTTCAGGGTCACGTTCTTTCAAGACATAATCGATGATGACTCATCACAACATTCTGTCTACTAATACCCTAATTATTTTTACCATTTACCATTCGTATTTGTCTATGCTCTGTTATCGATCGCCAAATCTCATTAAGTAGCTTTCTTTCTGTTTCCCCTGGTTTTTTGTTTAATTGTTTTCATTGTGTCTTTCAGAAATTTCAGGTGTCTCTTTCTCATTGTAAATATGTTTCCTTGTTGTTCTTATTTTTCTTAAGACTTCTTTGCTTACGTGTTCTGCCCATGGTCGAAAAGCTCTGTCGTTTCATCCCTGTGGAAATTGTCCAGCATTCACTGCATATAAGAGATTAGATTTTACATAAAGAGATTCAAATGAGTTGTGGATGTTATAAAAGCAGGTTAGTTTTCAATAGTAATGTCACTCTTTGGAACTTTCGATCTCTTACGGGCGAAGTGTTTTAGAAATGATTGCATTTTAAACATCGTATGCAAATATGGCGAAGAATATAATACAAAAGGTATCTATTCCCTCAAAGATAGACACGAGACTACTTTCAACCCACTGCCAGCATTTCGTTCGGGCTACTAGCATTTGGTATGTGTTGCCTGTCAGCTTGCTTGAATCTCTTTGTTCAATTTCAAACCCTTCTCTTCCTGATGATTTTATTTATTTATTTATTTTATTTATTAATTATTGATTACTGTTTACTAATTCTCTTAGTTTAGAATAATGTTCTTTGAAACCTATGCGAATTTTAGCTTCCCGCTCTCATTCATTTCAATCCTTATTTTGAATTCTTTGTTTGAATATGAATTCCTCGAAATAATCATGCTAGCATCGAACAGTTAACTCAGCAGCGTGTATCGGTCATGTTGTGGCTTAGTCTTTCTTCCCTCCTACCAAAGTGTATGTTGGCACTTAAACCAAGTTGAAACTTTATATATATATATATATACAATTTTTCTCTCTGTGTTTAATAAGAGTAGCTAGGTCTACCTATCGCTCGATTAATACTCCTCCCCCTTGTCTTGAACAGGTATAGAGACTCATCACTTGTTTCTTGCTTAGAAAGTGGTTCCCGGATCTTTTCCTCTTCTCTGGCCTCTGTATTAGTGCTGTCGTTAATCCCTTGTGATATGTGCAGTCTGTGACAACGTCTCTTCATACTTAGGGCGCCGGGTTGACAGTTCTCTGGTTACTGTTCCCCACTGGTAGTTAGGAGCCCTAACTATTGCGTAGCATCTTGAGTGGCTGCTCTGATCAACAGTTACATAATATCGGGGTGCTGGTAATTCCATGTCGTGCATGGAAGGGTGTCCCTGCACGTACCATCGGTGGGAAACCCCTAGGCGACATTATTTTGCAGGCTACGCCAGCTGTTTTCTGCCCATGTTCCATAGGATGACCGTTCAGCTACTATTACTTTAGGCCCTCTCACTTTTACTACCAACATTACACATCATGAATACAAACAATCAAAGAAGTAAACCTAAACCAGCTTTTTAAAAAAATCACCTAAACACTTTAACATTTCCAACATCCGTGGCTTTCGGACCAATTTCTGTGGTTTGGAATCTTTCATCGTTGAGAAGTCCCCTCATATACTAGCTCTTTGCGAGAACAACTTTAATCCGTCAATCCTCTCCTCTGACTTCTCGATTTCCGGTTACCTTCCTGTCCTTAGAAAGGTCTCTATTACCCACATGCATGGCCTGGGAGTTTACGCACGATACAATCTCCTAATGTGTCTCCGTCTATCTCTCCTCAAATCTGTAAGCAATCTCTTCTTTCTCTATCGCTCTCCATCCTTTCAAGACTGGTGTACTCGATTGCTTTTCCGATGATATAGACAAGGCTATCTCTCCACATCCATCTGCAAACATATTTGTGCTTGGTGACTTAAATGCCCACCATCAATCTCTCACGCATATGGTTGACTTTCCTACGCGTTTCTCCAGTAACCATGATAGTAAGGCTTCCCTTCTCTGTTTTAGTCTTGTCGTGCTATGCAGCTCTGCCCTCTTGGCTACTCTGATCATGCTGTTGTGTCTGTTAACATCTCCTTCTACTCCTCCCCCAGGAAAGAACCTCCTACCAAGAGAACATCTTTCTATTATCAACGAGCAGATTGGGACTTCCTTCGTTATGTCCCCTGGAATACTGTCTTTAACCACCCCGCCCAAAAATGTGCGTCTGAGGTCTCATCCTGGGTAAAAGCTGGAATCGAGTCTTTCATCCCCACAAGAAAATATAAAATGAATTCGCGTTCATCCTCTTGGTTCTCTAGTGCTTGCTTAGCAGCTATTGCCCACAGGAATCACTGATTCCGTCTGTACCATAGAGACATGTCTGATTGCAACAGATGTCTCTTTGTCACTGCCGTAACAAGTGCAAGCATGTCTTCAAAGAAGTAAAGTTACTCTTTGCCGAAAGAATGAAACAAGTTATTGCGTCTCGCAAATTTGGATCAAAAGATTATTGACAGCTCTGAAAAAGCGCGTGGAACAACATCAAACATTTAATACCAACTTTAGGCAACCAATTTGAAGTCCTGACCTCTTCAACTGACTCATCTGGTGTACCGAAACCCGATTTTCCTCCTGCAACTGAGGCTCAACTGAGTGAGATGTACATAACCCGAACGATGGTATTGGATATCATCTCTAAATTAGACTCACATAAGGATAGTGCTGGGGACGTGATACCTGCCATTGATCTGAAGAAATGTGCTCCTGAATTAGCTCCTGTCCTCTTTAAAATTTACAACTCCTTCCTCATCGACTGTTGGAAGTCCTCATCTGTTGTACCTGTCTTTAAGAACTCTGGTGATCCTTCTGACCCGTCTAACTACCATCCGTCATTCTCCTACCACTCTTCAGTAAAGTCTTCGGGGCTAATCAACGCCGAAGTAGTAAAGCACCCTACTTCACATAACCTGCTCTCCGACAAGCAATATCGTTTCCGCTTTGCCCGATCTACTACTGATGTGGTCAAGGCCATAACTGAATTTGTATACCAAGCACTCAACAATATTATATATATATATATATATATATATATATATGTGTGTGTGTGTGTGTGTGTGTGTGTGTGTGTGTGTGTGTGTGTGTGTGGCTCCAAACATCTCTAAAGCGTTTGATAGCGTTTGGCATGCCGGCCTTCTTCGTAAGCTTCATGGATACGGTATTACAGGACGAGTATTTGACTTAATGCAATCATTCCTGTCAAACCGTGAAATGAAGGTCTCCTAAACGGGTTCTTCTCCAGCTCCTTTATCACGAACGCCTGTGTCCCCCAAGGCTCTATCTTGGGCCCTACACTGTTTCTGATCTTCATCAATGATCTTACCATTATCATCAGTTCCCAAGTTGGCATCTACGTGGACGACACTACTATTTACTCCTGCCTCAATAGTAAATCTGGTATCGTTGACAAAACTAACCTGGCTGCTGATCTCGAAAAGGAACTTTTTCTGTGGTTAATTGGGGCAGGAAATGGCTTGTAAACTTTAATGACTCCAAAATGAAACTTCTCTCCTTTACGCACCACAGTGAACCCTCCTTCCCTCCCATCAGAATGGCTAATTCCCAACTCCTCGAGAGCGCCTCGTCACGCCTGCATGGTCTCACGCTGTCCACTGACATGAGGTGGAATAAATACATTGAATCATCTACCGCAAGGAAAGTTGGTTCTCTGTGTCGTGCCAGAAGGTCTGTTCGTCTTAGTCCATCCTTCAAATCGATAAATCAACCATCCTTCCTTTCATGGAATATTGCTATCATATATGCCCTGGTGCTCCCGCTTTACGACTCGAGGTCCTCGTCAAAATCCAGAGACAAATATGCAAGATGATAGATCCTGATCTGACATCTAGTCTACAATCGCTATCCCACAGACGTCTCGTGGCCTCCCTCTGTCTCTTCTACAAGTATTTTCACGGCAACTGTTCTGACGAGCTAGTTTTACTGGTTCCCGGACTGCATGAATTCAAGCGAGCTACCAGGCTGGCATCTTGGTCCCGCCCTTTCATTGTCAAAATGGTTAAATGTTACAGCTTCTTCTCCCGCACTTCCCGTCTGTGGAACTCCCTTCCCCTTACTTGCCTCCCCGATGTCTATAATCCTCAAATATTCAAGTGTAATTTCAATCGATATCTGACACCCTGAGCTTGTTCCCTGTCCTTCTCTGTATCCTTTCCCCAAACATGTCTCTTTACTCTTGTTCTCAATCTTCTGTAACTCCTTGCGTGCTAGTGGTACCCCCCCTTGCTTGGGGTGAATTGCCTTTTAAAAAAAAATCCACCGCAAATAAGGCGATAAAACCACATTGCATTTAATTTTTTAAATATATTAGTTGACAGGAAAACAAGAAGCCGGAAGAGAAATCCACAAAAGAAAAGTGCAAGAGAAGAAACCACTAGCAGATAACTTACGCATTCACTTAGCCATTTCAAAAGTAAAATGATAAGACCTGGTTACCCTTTAGTGATTGACTAATTAATTCATTTTTTACGGCTTATCAACCCTTTGCATGGTATTTGAAACCAGAAAATACCTTAACATTGTAAGAATTTTTATGTTTCAAATAATAATGGTTTAGTGATACAAGTCTTACTAATTACTGCGTTGGGGGAGATGTGGATTCATAACTTCCCTGGGGGTATTTCCGTATAAGTGAATATAAAGAACCCAACGGGAATTGGAACTCGGATCTTTGATTAACAATTCCGAGCCATGATTCATTATACCACACGCGCATCCAAGTTTACAGAACCTTGTATTCCCAAGCGGTTACCCATCTAGGTACTGACAAGGTTCGACGTTACTTAACTTCGGTGATCCTACGGGAAGCAGTGTTTCAATATGATGTGGTTGTAAGCCTGACACTCTTGTGCTGCGTTTAAATCCAGGGCGGTTGAAAATCGAATTCGTTTCTTCTATTACTCCTTTCGAGTCGCAATCTATTACACCACCCGCAAATACTAGGGAAAGAGAAGATAACTCTACAAAATTTTGCTATGTACTATAATAGACTCTTTCCGCGATTATCGTCAGCACATCAGCAGTTTACCTGGAGAAACAAAAGCTATATTGCCTGTCTGAAAAAGGGCCCTGCGATGAAAGATGCTTAATTAGTTCATTATTGATAAGGGCCTCTAGAAGTTTCCCAAAAACAGGTAGAAGGTTCATAGGCCGATGGTTCGAAGTTTCAAACGATTCACCAGAGTTCTTAAAAACTAGAACAGCCGATAATGATTTCCAGCAGGTAGGAAAGCAGGTGACAGCGAGGCATTTATTATACAGTTTACAGGGATACCATCAGGACCAGATGCTTTGTTAAGATCTACGTTAAAGATGATAACAGAAACCATAGAATGGATTATATGCATATCACTCAACAGAGATTCAGTTCTAAGAAGTTAGGCAGGTATATTCCAGATGGGTCAAGAGTAGAGTTTAAATTGAGTGAAGAGAGGAGGAATAGAGACCTTACACTATTTAAAACACTATTACAGAGCTGTCAGTAATCACGAAAGTGAATGTTGTTAGATGCAATGCAGTGCCACTTTCTCTCAGTAAACAGGGCCTTAACTCCTTTGAGTATTCGTTTACATTTATTACGAGCAACAACAAATAGTCGTCTGTTGTTACGGGAGCTGTCATGCTGGTATAGTCGAAAATAGTGACTCCTGTAGACTATAGCGGCCGAGCATTTTGGTATGAACCAGGGAAAGTATTATGACTTCACCTGGTATTTCATAGAAGGAATGAAAACATCCATACCAGCTTTGATCTAAGAAGAAACGTTAGTGGCGCAATTCTCATTTTGAAGTTTAAAGTCCAAAGGCATCACAAAGAAAAAAACGCAGTGAGTCACAATCAACATGCTGGTAACGGAAAAAGCTCTTACGAATGGGAGATTCCTGTTTAATAGATGATTGGAATTAAATATCAATAGATACTACAGAGTGATCAGAGTTTCCAAGAGGGCAATGTTGCCAAGTTCGGAGGTAAGAAATAAATCAAGTAGAGAGGCCTGTTGCTCGGTTATATACATATATATATATATATATATATATATATATATATATATATATATATATATATATATGCTTTGAGGCATTCGGATGTCTACTGCACTGAAGAGCTGTGATACAGCAAAACATTACTGTCTGCGAATGATATTTATATATATATATATATATATATATATATATATATATATATATATACATACATATATATATATATATATAACTGACCAACACACACACATATATATATATATATATATATATATATATATATATATATATATATATATATATATAACTGAGCAATATATATGTATATAAAGAGTATAGCGGAACGATACGATAATATATATACATATGACGGAGACTTTAATTATCCATTTTGATTATAAATTTATTTCTTGAACACCGAGATGTTCAATTCTTCGGATCGAAATCTCCTCCGTAAATGGAGATAATACACCGGACGTACACATTAGATTGGTAGTGAGGGGGGGGGGAGAAAGGATGGGTAAAGAGAAAGATACGGGATTAGTGGAAGTAGTAGTAGTAGTAGTAGTCGGTTCACCTAGCTGAGAATTTACTCCATACTTTTGAGATTTTTATATTGGGTTGTATTTTTCATTGACCGTTACGGTTTGTTGTTTATAGGAAGAGCAAACCAGGTCGATTCAAATTAATTTAATGAAATAAATTAATTTAATCCAAATAAAGTTTTGTATTAATATAGTAACACTTAAGCTTTTTTTTTATTTTTTAGGCCGAAGTCTAATAGTCAGTTGAAGAGAATGCATATAGAAGGAGTGGACGGCTCTATAAAGGGTGGGATTGACTTTTTTTTGTTTGTTTGTTTGTTTGTTTTTTTGGTTTTTTTAGAAAGAAGAGGGTGAAAAAGAAAAGGTGGGGTAGTAGTAGCTCTAGCAGACTGACTGCCTAGATTTTTCTTAATTTTTAGAACTATGTGAATTGGTTTATGCAGTGGGTTGATTGGTGGTTGGTTTCGTGAAATAGTCCTTAGTACAAATAATAATTAGAAATCACAATAATATTGTTAGATACAATTGGAGGCATGATTTTAAATAGGTAAATAAAACAAATAAATTTAGAGAGTTAAGAGTTTGAATAAAAATTCTGATCAAAATACCAAAAATAAAGGAAAAAGAGTAAAAGTTATGGAGTGTGGATAACTATACAAGATGTGTTAATTTAGAAACATGGCAAGACAGTCATATGTCCAACCATGTGTGTAGAAACCCACAAAAAAGCAACAAGGTCGTGTGATATTCAATATCAACCCATGTACGCACCTACGCATACACACACGTGTAGAAATCTACACATGAATGTGCACCCATATGTGCTACTGCCCCTGTCAACGAACCAACACTTCACGTGTCATCCTCCCTAAAACAAATACAGTAGGCGTTTTAGGGGAGTTTAAATTTGTTTTTGTGCCTACATTTGAAGATAAGCTCGTTTCGTTGATTTAATAATTGGTTAGCATTTGTGTACTTGATTATTGCGATTTTTCCTGTATACACAGATCGCATCTGTCCGGAAAGTTTTGAGGGTTCTAGACCAATAGATGATTTCCCATTTGATTATCTGGGTGAGGTTACTATCTTTAATTTTCCATTAATGCTTGAATAGAACGGATTGTTTCTCAGGTCATTATTATAGAAGGAATGTCGGTAGCTGTATAGTCTCTGTTTCCAATTTCTGGTGGATATCCCTATGTATGTCTTTATATCCCTGGTGTTTTCGCTCAGGGAGACGGTAGTCTGGTATACCACGTTTTCCGAATTACAGGTGCCTCCGACTGGGCAAATGGTTCCAGTTTTACAGTTACAAGATAGTTTTACTCTTGCTGTTTTGCCATCTTGGGATGCTTTTAATATTTGCCTGTTGTGAGTACTAATAATGTTCTGCATACTTCTGGTGCAGGAGTAGATAATCTTGAGGGTTTTTCTGTTGAAGATTTTCTGTAGAGGGTTGTTTTGGTTAGACTGCTTATCGACTAAGTTTAAGAAGTATCTACCGATATTTAGATTGGATCGCTTACAGAACGATGGAGGGAGGCTGAACCAGATAATCTTTCTTTTTCTATATGTGGTTTTCTTTGTTTTAATATCATCTGAAGGTTTTGGGTATACTAGATTTTATTTGAAGATGTTCATAAGACGATTTGCTTTCATTGAATATTTTTCTGTTTGATAATTTATTTATTCTAGTGTTTATAGTTTGGGGAACTTGCTTAACTATGGAGTTTACGTTAATATAAATCAGAGTTTGGTTTTCTTTTTGGAAAGGCTGATAGGTGTTGTTCGAGAGGTTAAAGGTGACATCTAAGAAATTGACTATCTTGAGGTTAGACGAGATATCAATTTTAAAAACTAAAAATTGGAAGGCTCTTATATTTTTTTTTGTATTCTAGAGTTTAGAGGGCCGTTGCTGTTTGGGATGTAGATAAGACTGTCGTCTCTGTAGAGGCCAGCTACGGGCTCAGATACTTCACATTAAATTCGGCCTTGTGCCACATCTGACCGCGGTTGGTAGATATCTTGCAGTTGGAGATTCATTGTGGAATTCATTTGACTCACTCCCAGCAGTTGACTACTTCTATGTACCGCTGGCGAGTCTTATATGTGCTGTTCTTGTTGTAAGTATTATCGTTCATTACCAACCTTCGTGTTATTATTCTATCCAGTAACCTTCTGTAGGTTGCAACATTTGGAGGGGGCGAGGATTAGCCAAAATTACAACATTTTGGCGCCAAGGATTAGTCAAAATACAACATTTTGACAAGGTTTGCCCAAAATGCATTTTAGTGACGAGGATTTACCCAAATCAGGAAACGTCACTAGTGCCATAATTTGGCCGTAAATCAAGGAAACGTTCACCAGCACAACTTTGGCGAAAAAAGATGTCGCCAAAATCGCACGTTAAAATTCACCAAGGCTTCATTGGGAAAAAATCAAAATGGAAGACTTTCAACAATACTACCTGAAATGGTCAAACGGCAAGGCGGACAGCAAAAACGGTACGAACAAAAATTCGAAAAACTCGTGGAAATGTTGGTAGAACAGCAGAAAATGTTCACAGATAATAAGAAAGGATATTCTGAAGACGCTACTATAAATGCGATTGCGGAATTTCACTACCAGAAAAAGAGTTAACTTTTTTGTCGTATTTCCGTAGATACGAAGATTTGTATAAGACTGAATGTGCAAACTGGTCCGATGATAAAAAGATCAAACTTTTGCTAAGGAAACTAGGCGCTGTCGTACACACTTATTTCGTAAACTATATATTACCAAAGAAGATTAGTGACCTAACATTTAAACAAACGGCTACTTTACTTTCGGAAGTTTTCAGCCCAAAAGTGTATGAATTTAGTAAAAAACGAAAATGTTTTCACAACGTTCGCGAGCATTGTGAACGAAAATTGGGAAAAAGTTCAAATTGGCGGAATTTAAGCCCTGGCAATTTTAAATGCTTGGTATTTGTGCAAGGGTTAGTGTCAACAAAAGACGCTGAAATCCGAAGAAGAATTTTAAATAAATTGGCAAACGAACTCAATTTAACATTGCCAAACCTTGCAGAAGTTTGTCAGAAATTTATAAATGTTCGTTGAGATACCAAAGATATTGAGAAAAAAGTGCGTCAAAAATAAACTGAAGAAGGAAAAAAAGCATCACTCTTAATCCTTGCTACCCTTGTGGAGAATTATATTAAATAAAGAATGTCCTTACAAAAAAAAACAATGTTTTCTGTGTGGAAAAGTACATAAAAAACACTGTAAGACAAAATTTTAAAAACGAATGAGTAATTACATTA